AACAATTGATCAACAAAATAATCGTTAAATTTTTGTACAAGTGGATCATTAACACAGTTTTTCATTATGCTCAACCATCCATCGTCTACGCTTTCATATGGAATGTGTGACAACGCAGCGCATCTTCTTATGTGCATTCGGATTTCCTCATCTTCCCTGTATGCTTTAGTTAGACCAATTTCTTGAACTTTGCTCCACAAGCATTGATTAAAATGGAAGTTGTATCCACTTATTTTTATATTTGGAAAACATTTTCGTAGGGCCAAAATAGCTGCATCTTCGTAATCTATTTTGAAACTCACAGGATTTCACACTGGTAAATGTTGTTTTATTAGAGAAAACAAACGTAGATTAGATTAGATTAGATTAGATTAGGAGTTGGACGTTATTTGTCCTTGTCCACCGCGACCTTTTCAGATCTATTGTGGGACTCCGTTTGTTTTAGAGTATGTCGTCTAGCCTGGTCTTTTTTATTAGACTTAGTAGCTTTGACAGTGGCTCCCGCATGTAGTTGCATGCAATTGGCTTTTCTTCGCCCAATGTTAGAAACCTCATTCCAGCCAGGCCTTCACATTGGCACAAAACGTGGAATGATGTTTCCTCTTCTTCTTCACAGAACCTGCACAAAGTTGCTTCTTCTGCTGGATTTATGACACTCATGTGCCTTTTGAGGCGACAGTGTCCAGTAAGAAGGCCTACTGTTAAAACAAACGTATGTATGTTGTCTCTTTTTTTATCGGGAAGAAGTACGTATACGAGAGGAATAATGTTGGTTTGGGTTGGTGTACTACCAATGTCTGCATGGATGGTGTAAAGCTGCTTAAATTGTGGACAGCAACTTTTGAAGGAGCCATCTCCAAAAAAATTGCGACATTGAATCATTGTACTTCTAGCGTTTTCAGAAGCAAACGCTAATATTTTGTCCTCATCACCATTTTCAAATAACAAAAAGTTGTTAGTTATTTTATCTGGCAATAAAATGTCTTCCCAGATTTTAAATTTAACAACACCTAAAGTCTTGTGTCTCGCCCTGTACAGTCTGTCCTTTTTGGATTCAAAGCTTGGAATTTCGGTTACAAATTCCATTCCAGACTCCATTACGGGTAACATTTCCTCAATAAAAATCTTGTGTATTGACGTAGTTTCTTCACGAGATCTTTTTTTGGCTTTATTGATGCTCACCTCAACTTCATTTTTTGCTATATTTGGTATATATTCGTGATCAGATCGTCTAATAATTGTTTTACTGGAATAAAAACAAAATATTTATATATAAGATGTCTAATTATCAAAATTGATAATACTTTTTTTAACTTTTTTCATAGGATGAATAAAACAATTTGTTGCAATTTTCATAAAATAAGATTATTGAGTAAACATTTCTTATAAATACAAGATGGGTAGGTACATATATACAGTGTGTTCACGGATGAGGTACCCAAGAGGAGAATTATTTGTTATATTTAGTTTTAGCGGAAAATATCCTTCTTGATAAACAGTTTTGCTTGTTCAAAAACCCCATAAAATAACATTTAAGTTTTTCAAAACCCTCTGCATTTCTGCACTAAGTTAGAAAATGTAATAATAATCAAGTGATCTTTACGACAATAATAAAGTGTTTGACGTTTTTGTCATTTAAGCAATAATATTTCAAATTATCATACAACAGTAAATTTTAATTAAAATCAATAACAAAAATAATAACTAATAATACAGTAATAATACACACTAGATTATTGTCGTAAAGATTACTTATTTCTATAATATAAAATGAAGCAAGTTTTGAAAAACTTGAATTTTATTTCATTTTATATGTTTTTTTGGACAAGCAAAACTTTTTATAAAGGGTGACATTTTTCGCTAAAATTAAAAATAACAAATATTTCTCCTCTGGGGCACTTCATACACGGACACACTTTATAACAATATTGCTCCATAATTTTTTTTATTGATACTTTGCTAACAGTTACACAAAATTTATATAAACAAACGTTTTTTAAAAATTGCTAAATAAATATTTATAAAACAAAGAAAATTTTAATTTATAAAACTGTTTTATAGTTACCTATAGCTGTAAGAATATTCTTAGATACAATTGATAAGCTAATTTGGTTGTGAAGACTAAACAATAACTGTGACGAATTTTATTCAATATAATGGCTTTTGCAGAAGAGACAATAAATTAAAATGATTCTGTATTTTCAAAATTATGTAGCAACATTGTAGGTTGAAAAGAAACGTGTCTCCAACCTTTTGGTATAGTTTTAGATATGGGAAATAAAGACTTACTTGTTTTGTGTAAACGTAATACTTCCAGAACATATTTTTCTGTTTTTGCACATCCAAAAAAGAGACGAGTCCTTGTTTTCTCTTTTAAAATAATAATGGTATCCTGAATGGAGGAGAATGTTTTTGCCACGTTGGCTCTCAATTATTTGAAAATATATTTTCAAAAGCTGTGGGTATAATTTTATTATCGGAACACTGTTAACACTTTCGAAATAAAAACACAACTAATGTTAAACTGCAAAAAAATTGGCATAAATACCAATTTAAGGTGTTTTCCATAATGACAATTTAAAGACATCTTTATAATAATTGTAAATAAATAAAGGATTAAAAAATGACTATTTAAAGCCTTCTTCCTAATTGTAAATAAATGAAGGATTATTATCTTATTTCGCACTTCCGCTTCAGAAATGACATATCTCAAAAATTTCCGTTTTTGGTATTAAGTCATTTTTGAAAGGAACAAGTTAATCCCCATATACTGGAGAAACGACACATCCAAACTTTCAAGACTTTCCGCTAGACGGCGGAAGTGTCACTTTTTTAATTTTAAAATTCGCACCAGTATGAATCTTTCGAATCGACCCATCTAGTATTTAGTCAGTAGCCGCTCAGATTCGGTCAAGGGTGCACGCGTGGAAGTGTCCGATTTTGAGTCGTGTCATTTCTAACCACAATTGGTGTTAATTGAAACGACTTAATTCGAGTTATGTCATTTCTGATTTATTGTTTATAGACTTGTTATTTTGGATTAAGTCACTTTTAAAACGGAATTATAATATTATACTTACTAAGAAACAACGCATTTGTGATTGTGTGTCGTAAATTATTGGTCTGGGAAAAGTCACTCTTTGCATATATATAACTAAAGGTAAGTCTTGTTTCTGTTATATCTACCCATACCCAGAATACTTACAATCATTCACCCCTAGTTTCTATTAATAGAATAACTTCTTTTCATAACAATATTCACGAGAATATTCACAAGTTATTGATAGGTAGTGGATCTGTTAAAAATATTATGTTATCCGTTAAATGGGCAACTTATTTTTGTTCACTCTAAGACTATTCTCTCTGAAAAAATCCGGAAGCAGTCTTAGCGTGGAAATTTTTTTGAATAATTTGTTAATTATTTTTCATACGACCACTTGTAAATTTAGCTTTAGCAATTATTATTAAAATAATTTTAAAAATTACGTTAGGTTTGCTTTTTATTCTGGTTAAAAACATAATCGATTGGATAATTTATTTGACGTAAGGCCTGTTAGCTCAGGTGTTAGAGTATCAAACTTTATCAACTTTGCCATTTGCGACGCAGCGCGCGACCACAGTCGTATCCTGGTAGAGGCAAACATTTTTTTTTTTTTATTTTTCTAATTTTTTTGCTTCTTTTGTTTGGAAAAAATGAAAATTGAATATATACGATTATTATTATTATTTTTTAAATATATTTTATTTAATATACTATAACTTGGTTTTATATTTTTTAATGAAATTATTTTGTGGTCGTAGAAAAAATGTCACTTTCCACACTCGTAATGTAATAAAATATTAATTTGTAGTAATGTCTGGAATTCGCGAAAAAAAAATGCTGGATATGTTGGCCAAGAATATTCAAGAAAGTAAAGAGAGTGTACTAGAAAACAAACAAACTGTCAATGTATCTTCAGCTAAAAGAACAAAAAATGAGGAGTCACAAAGTTCCAGTGTATCAGATCTTCCTGACCTCAGTAAGAAATTCAATAATTATTCAAGTATACCTACCTTAAATTTGTTGTTTATTTTTTTTTATAGTGCAACAGAGTTCGTTTGAAGTAATAAGTGTCCCTATCCCCACAAATCCAGTGCAAGATGATTCAGAAAGTCATGATTCTGGTGAGAAATTTATTAAAATATCCTCTTTTGTTGTTTTTTTTTTTTTTTAACTATTTATATTTTTATAGCGCAACAAAATTTGTTTGAACTGGGAAGTACCCCTGCCATTACAAACTCAGTGCAAGTTAAGCCAGGAAGTCATGACTTGAAAACAGGTGAGTAATTTATTGAACTGTTTATGTTAAAAAAATATTGATAATTTATACCATCATTTTGCAGATAAAGTAAATCCATCCGAAAAAGACACTTTGTCTGTTTTAGGCGTACCTACAAGTACGATACAAAGAAATACTCCAGAGTCGCCGAAACCAGGACCTTCAAGGCTCTGTCGTAAGAATTTAAAATACAAATTACGAAATGTAGATGGAAAATGTTATACAATATCTCCTATAAATAGTGGAGAAAGTGATTGTGACGACTCCGATAAAGACCCAAAATTTTGTGAACAAAATAAAAAACCTACATTCCAGGCAACTACCTCGTCTAGCGACTCTTCTAGTGAGGAAGAGGGTTTAACGGAAATAGTTAACAAAGAAAATGAAAGTCCAAATATAAAAAGAAAGAAAAGAAAATTGGATCAAGAAAATTGGAGCAATAAGAAATCGAAAACCAGAAGAAACCTCGGGTTAAGTTATATATCAACATCAAAAAGTAGACGAAAATATCCAGAGAAAAGAATGTGCCCACCTTGCGGAGATAAATGTAAACTCCAGTGTTCTGCAAAAATTAATGAAGAGCAACGGCAACAAATTTTTAGAAGCTATTGGGCTTTAGGTGATTCGCACAAACAGAGATGTTTTATTGCTGGCTGTATGAACAGCATTAAACCTAAGTACAGGTATTCATCTACGCAAAATCACCGTAATTTAAATAATGCTTTCTATTTTGACCTAAATGGACGTATTAGAATTTGTGAAACGTTTTTCAAGGCGACTCTTGACATAAATGACCGCCCAATAAGAACTGTTCTTGCCAAGAAAAAAGAAACTGGTGTTGTTGAGCCAGATTTAAGGGGACACAATTTACATCCGACTCTACCTTCCGAAATAAGAGATGGTGTCCGAAAACATATCGAGTGTATCCCTAAAATTGAGTCGCATTATCTTCGTGCTCAAACCACACGCCAATATATAGATGCTAGTAAATCATTGGCCGATATTTGGAGAGATTATAAAAATGCATGTATTCAGACTGGAAAACAGTTTGCAAATTTGTGTATGTTCAGCAAAATTTTCAATAATGAATATAACATTAGCTTCTATACTCCAAAAAAAGACCAGTGTGAACTTTGCACCGCGTACACTAACGCATCGCTAGAAGACAAAGAAAATTTAAAAACAAAATTCGAAAAACACCAAAAAGAGAAAGAATTATCAAGAGAAGAAAGAAACAGGGACAAACTTAAAGTAAGCAAGAACTATGTAGTTGCAGTATACGATCTACAGGCTGTGTTACCTTGTCCTCGTGGTGACGTTAGTGTAATTTACTATAAATCCAAATTGAACACCTTTAATTTCACAATTACCGAACTCACAACAAAAAACACAGAACGCTATCTATGGCACGAGGGTGAAGGCAAGCGGGGTGTTGAGGAAATTGCAAGCTGTGTATTGATGTTTATAGAAAAGACGGTACAAAATATGCAAGAAAATTTTGACCTAGTTTTTTATTCTGACAACTGCAGTGGCCAACAAAAAAATAAGTTTATGGTGGCTCTGTATTACTATGCGATTTTAAAATACCCACAAATAAAATCAATCACACACAAGTACCTAATCACTGGACATACCCAAAACGAAGGTGATAGTGTTCATTCGGTAATAGAGAGACAGATAAAAAGAGCTCTAGAAGGCGGCCCTATATACATCCCTGGGCAATATGCACAACTGATCCGATCTGCAAAAAAAATGTCAAACCCTATCAGGTTAACGAGTTATGTCATAAAGATTTCTATAATGTAAAATCTTTAAACGAACAATTACAAATTAATTTAGGATTACTTAAAATAACAGAAGTCAAAATTTTGAGAATCGATAGGAATAACCTGAATAGTTTGTTTATCAAAACATCATACGAAGCTAGTGAATATCAGAATATTAATATTATAACAAAAAGGAGCCTTGGAATAAATTCAAACATTCCCACCCTAAAGTCAGTTTACAAAAGAAAGCTAAATCTTAAAGAAAACAAAAAAGAAGATCTCTTATCACTTCTACATGCTAATCACATTAAAAGATTTTATGCTGATTTTTATGAAAATCTGTAATATTTAAAACTTTTTTGTTCTTTTAATTACCAAATCGTTTTATAAAATTTTTGGTTTTTAGTTGTTTTTTTTGTTTAATATTCATTAAAATTTGTGTTTGTATGTATAGGATAAATAAATATTTTGTTTAAATCCGATTCGGTACTCTTTCATTATCTCATTGCCTTACAAAATAAATCTCTTGAAATCTCTTATAAATATAGAAACAAACAGTCAAAGTGACATAACTAAAAAAAAAAAGTATTTACATGAGCAAATCAGAAACGACACTTCAGATCAAAAACATATTTAATAAATAGTAAAAACAAATTCTTCCTATAATTATGTTAAGTATTCTCCTAAACGTACCTATAAAAAGTTAATAACTTAAATTCAAAAGTGCCGGTAATTTTGAGAACAAAATTAGTTCGGCCGATAACTAAAAATATCTCTAAATCAATATTATAGTTTTTTTACTTATGTCACTTCTGAAGCGGGGGTGCGATTTGCAACCAAAATAGCTTTGGTTACTTTCTAATCCTATGCTTAAATATCCATTTGCTAAAGCCGCATTAAGCAAGTCCCCAGTTGCGAATTCTGCTCAGGTAAAAATTTATCGAGCCCCGACTTGCGACACTTTCTACCTCCAAAAGGGTAGAGTCCCCAGTTGAGAAGTCCAGAGTTGAGAAGACACCGAGTAAGTAACCAAATTCTCACATTTTGGGGCTCACTTAAACCGTGAAATAGATGAAAAATACATTAGCTAAACGCATGAACTTAAGTAGGGCGTCCCAATGGTCACAATATATCATCTAAACTACAGTGCCGCCATGCGAACCACAAAGAAGAGAAAGCAAGTTGGATACCAAGCGTGATTAAGAGTAGTCAGTCACTGGACCCAAGTCTGATTGGGGGATCTGCCGGATCTCTTAAGGGAAAACAGAGATATAGAATTAAAGTTATACTTCTAGGGTATATAAAAAAATACTTATTTGGTATAAAAATAACATTTATACATGTAAAAAACGGTTCTCTGTCTTCTTATTTTATCTTCTTATTATGTTTATTTATCTCTGATTTTTTTTCGTTTCGATTCGTCTCCCTCTCAACGGTCGTCAAGGCTCGACGGATCAGGATTCATCTCAAAAGACATTGACTATGATATACCTTCCTAAGGCTTAACATAATTATGACATCCTTTTCGACATTGACCTGTAATAAAATCGACCTAAAATTACGTGTAAGTCAAATTTATGTGGTGATCACAATGTCGCCACCTATAACCTTTTCGCTCAAAACGTTAATTAACACATATTATAAAAAATATAAATCAATTATAAGGTATTGGGTTTAACAGAAAAGAAACCGTTTAACTGGTTTCTGAACAACACTATGAACAATTCTTTGTTATCTCAATAAAACAGCTCTAGCTTCAACCTATCTACGTTGATTAACGATTATTATTATTATTAAAACTTAAGAAATATTACCGTTTCTACTGATACCCTATATGGCCGTTCAAAAGGGGGGGTTAATGAAAGTTTGATATCCTGAACCTTAAGAAAAACAAAATTATTTTTTATTTTTCTGATGAAATAACAGTTTTCGCTGATCCGTGTCTAGTTACTTTAGAGCAGTATTTCCCAAAGTGATCCAGGTGGACCCCCAGGGGTCCACGGGAGACTCGATAAGGGTCTACGTTGGGCGTAATAAAAAATGGGGTTCCACAATCGTAAGCGGGGTGCATAAAAATTAATTTGGTTTCGAAAGTGAAGCAATATACTATTAAATAATTGATTACTCATTTTTCTATAAGATGGAAAAATTCTTGTAAAAAACTTCAACTGTTTATAATATAAACAGTCAACATTTTAGTTACTAAAATGTTGACTTGACTTATCTTATCAATATAGGCAGATAATATTTTTAGAAACTCAGCGACTGTTACTTGTAAAAACTTGCATATTCCATATTCAGTACAACGGCGTCGAGACTTGTCGTTGCCGCGCTGGCCGTCATCCCATCCGCAACGCTTGTTCAGAAGTGCAAATTAATACGACTTGTGGTGAATGTGCTTGCAATCTTGCATGAACGTGTTTGATTCTTCACCAATATAAATACGAAAGTCAAGAAAAATCGTTACTCATTTATTTCTGGAATTTTATGAAGAAAAGTGAATCGATATTAGTGTTAGCCAGTGACTGAATTTGTTTCCAGACTTTCGAAAAGAAAAGTAAAGTGAATCTATATTAGTGATTGCCAGTGTCGGAAGAGTAAGTACCTACCTGCATATTTGCTATATGCATATAGTTTTAAGCCGAGAAAGATTGAACTTATCGTCTCTACTTTATTTTTATTGCCTATCTAATTCATTTAATTATTGCGGAGTTTTGATATCAAAATATTATTTAAAAGTTTTTATAGAATTTACAGAAATATATTAAAATATAATAAATGAAATAATAATTTTATATCACATTAAAATAAGTTTAGCCGTTTTCATTAAACTCTATTATGGATCTTAGCGATGTATTGCTTTTAATAATTAGAAACCGTTTGCAGCCGGAACTTTGTTCATTTCCTAATATTTATAACAATTGATTAATCGTATTATGTTAAAATAGCCCTATCCTGTTCGAATCACCAAGATTACTAAAACAAAGTTTTTTTTATTTATTTACTTACACATTTACAGGTAGGTAATTGATACAGAACATGGCCAAATCTAAGAAGAAGTGTCGTCAGTATAGTGTTAAATATTTAAAATTTGGTTGTTTTTCATCGAAGGCACACAAACGATTACCCAAATGCCTTTTATACAACAGTATGTTTTCTTCAACGTCTGAAAGCAACGATGATGGCTTGCGAGCATCAACTGGACGAGTTAAGTTTACCTGGCAATGAAGCATTATTATTGGCATATGTTCGATTTGTTATGGGCGAAGAAATTCATGAAGAGCTAACATTCGCGAAAACTTTGAAGACGTACACTAAAGGTGAATTAATATTTTATGTTTTGAGTGATTTTTTTAAAGAAAATTCGATTCCATTCACAAACGTTATTTCGATGGCAACAGATGGAGCTCCTGCCATGGTCGGTCGATATTGTGGGTTTATAAGCCATCTTAAACGAATCAAATCAGAGGTAATTGCGATTCACTGTGTTATCCATCGACAACATCTAGTAGCGAAAAATTTGAGTGATAGGTTGCATCAATCGCTTCAATTTGTAATTATTGCAGTTAAAAAAATAAGAAGCAATGCATTGAATACGCTCTTATTAGCACAATTGTGCGATAAAAATGATGAAACTTTCAAAGATTGCTATTACATACCGAAGTACGCTGGTTTTTGAAAGGTGCATGTTTATCAAGATTTTATTTACTTTTGGACTCAGTTTTAGAGTTTTTGGAAAGTAAAGATCCTGACTTAAAAAAAACGATAAATCTTGAGAGATTTTTTCAAAAAATTTAATGACCTCAACTTACAAATTACAAGGGGACAGCCTCAATTTAATAAAAACAAAGAGTGTAATTTCAGGTTTTCTTGGAAAATTGAAAATATATGAAGGAAAATATTGGTCGGCGCGAATTTTCACAATTTTCAAACTTGTCGCAGGTAGAATGCCTTGATAAAGATATTCAGACACACGTTCAACATTTGGTTGCCCTGCATGATGATTTTAAATTCAGATTTGAAGATATTCTGTCGATGGAAATACCACCATGGACCATAAATCCATTTGATGAAACGGAAGTGGAGAATGTGATATTACAAGAGGAGCTACTCGAGCTTAGCACTAATGAGGAACCGAAAGTGACATTTAAAAGAGGGTATCAAAAATTTTAGCTACGTGCAGAAATACCCGAAAAATATCCTGGACTGTGGGGAATTGTTGTAACGTTATAAACGTTACGAGTTTCAAGCAAATATATCTAAGCCGGCCCTGACTCTTGCCATGATACACTAGATCGGATTTCCTTTGCGCCGGTCACGACTAAGCTTGATTTGAAGCGACGAGAATTTTCGTTTCACGGTACACGGCCTTTTCTGAATGCAACTCTTAGTCCGATAGGTTGGTTCGTACTCGTAGTTTGGTTGCGAATTTATTTGCATGAAGACGAAAGGTAATCAAATTTGCACTATCTAACTTTAATTTGCTTCTAAAATAGTATATAAGTTTAGTAAATATCTTGTTGAGGTAAATGTTGTAAATTAACAATTTATTTTATATTGTATGTACGCAACATTTCTTTCGTTTTATACGACATCAGATACAAAATGGCCGTCAATTTTAAATGGTTTTAAATATTCGTTTTTTTTTCAATCTTTTAAGAGTGGTACATAAATACTATGGCTTACCTAAGTTAATATTACCATTTATAGATTTAAGATATGTATTTGACTATGTAGAGTAACTTTTGCAAATTTTTCATGATATTTTTTTTAATACACATGTTAAAAGATGGAAGAATATTTTCTTTTCTTAAGTAAATTGACACGGCTTTATTTTCATTTTTTATGAAAGAGAGAAGAGGACAGTAAAGAAAGAGGGGACAGTAACGAAAGAGAAATAGAGGAGAAAGAGAGGAGAAATAGAGGAGAAAGAGAGAAAAGGGACGAAAGATTCGTACATAAAGGAAGAAGAGAAACGAGGTGAAAAGGACTCTAAAGCAGACTAGGAGATATTTGTATCGTTAGCGATTTTTGACCAGGCTCCTGAATATAGTAGGAGTTCGAGAAGTCACCTTTCAACCCCCAGGAGAAGCTGAGACTTTCGATAGACCTCTCACCTGTCTATCCGTGCCAGTTTAGTGAAAATTATAAAAACCCTCACGTGTTTTTACCAAGCGATATATTCATTTTTTTTATTATGTGTTTAATTCAATTTTACGTCATATATTCAACTTATGGAAATCAGTTTTATTTGTAAAGCCTAAAACCAGGGCAGATTCCAACATTACTTGTACATTTATTTTTTGTTTTGTAAGACAAGCCACAGTAATTAACTATTTAAATATACATCCATATATGTATTCATTTGCGTATTATTTCTAACTTTCAGCTGGTAATTTTATGGTACGATTCGTATTTATCCAGCACCTAAATACGTGTCGTCGACAATCGAGTATTTTTTTATTTCTTTAACAATCTTTTTAATTAAAGATTATACCATAAAATTACGAGTCAAATTCTTAGCCGAATCACACTGACCCAATATTTTATAACATTCATAGAGCTAGTCTGGGTAAGTTATTTTAATGGGAGAACCAACGTAACATTGTGCAAAAGCATCTGATAGCGTTTCCCTCGTCATATCTCGTCAAAAAAAGTTTTAGTGCCGTTATAAACTTATTAATAAAAAAAAGGGGCAGATTGAATATCACACAAAGGGGAGATTTAAGGTTATTCCTTACAAAACTCAAGCCAAATATATAATTTGCTGTCAATCCATCAAGTACATCCCTCCTATTAAAATTGTATTTTTTTTTGTAATTACCATTGTAGAAATTATATTACGTTATAAGTATTTAATTTTAATTATATTACGACGGTCATAACAATAATAATTAATAGTGTAATAATTTATATATTTAAATTTAAATAAATACCTACAATACAAGGAAATATACTATATCTCTTTTTACCACTCCGAATGGGACATTTTCGAGATAAAATTTGTGAGAATTGATTGATTCTTGTGCAGTGAGTCACTATAGATTTCAAAAAAGTAAAGTTGGATGCAGTTACTTTTTCGTTTGGCCAACTTTGCTTTTTTGACGTCCACTCACAGCACAATCAATTAAAATTTAATTGAAATTTGTTTAGTCGAATTTATTATCAAATAATTAACCCTATCAAGCAATCAATTCTAACCTTTTCTTTCGAAAACTGTTAATTCGTCGCAAGTTTCCATGGATAGATCTAATCTTTATTTTTTTTTTTCGAGATTTAGAAATTGGTAGTGATGTAGCCACCGGATCCAGCAAAATTTTGAAAGTGGTCAATGAAACAAAATAGTTTGGGAACCTCTGCTTTAGAGGATTTAATATTATTAAAATTTTCTTTTAATTAAATTAAAAATGAATCAGTATCAAAAGTTTTGCTATTGTGGATAAAAAAAATCACCTGGTAATTTTAATGTATGCCCATAAAATAATTCAGCGGAAAAACATTTTAAATCTTCCTTTACCGCTAATAGTTTTAAAGGCAACTCATTTTCCAGTTATTATTATGAAGTTTAGGCATAAGAGATAATTTTAATCTAGTATAGACACCTTCTGTCATTTCGTTTTATTGCAGACGATAGGTAGTAGTATGTAAATTTTTAGAATCAATTTTTTTGTTAAATTCTTTAAATAAATATGATTCTAATTAGCTAACTTGGTCATGTGTGATGCTATGAGGTACACCGAATCGAGCTGTATAATTGTTTATAAAAGTTTTGATAATTATTTATGTGGTAATTCTTGCTAAAAGGTAGGCTTCTATCTAATAGATATAAACATCATCCTAAAGGAGTAAGGGGTCCAACAATCTTTATGAATATGATGGAATTGGAGCTGATTTTGTATGTCTTAAAATCTTGGCTTTTCGGCAACTGATACAACACTTTGAACCGGAATATATATTTACTCGTCCTAGGCCAAAAATATCTATTTTTAACTGACTTCAATTAGTTGTATTTTTTTATGTATGTTCAGCGATAATTCTTTAACACGGTGTTCGATTTCAATGAGTCGTATTTTGTTAGAAAGGGACTACTGTTTGTAGGAATTTTGACAATGGATGTATGACGACACATTTCTAATGAGCAACCCGGGTATCCCGTTTCGCAACATTCGCGCGTCACAATCATTTTGGGACTTAGGAATACGGTCGCTAGGCAAGTTGTTGTTTGGGCAGAAGTCAACGAAAAAAAGTCATTCTTTTAATCTCAATATTTTATATTCAAAACCCTGTATTAAATAATACAAAGAATAGTTGTTAATGTGTTCCTGTTCCTGTTCATGGTAATATACGAATACAAAAGTTCGCAGTTTTATTTTATTGACGCAGCTAAAGTTAAACCAAAACCGAGCTGTGGCCAGTTTAAGAACTGGCACTCGTGATGAGGATGTAGCCAGCAGCATCATCCCCAGTCATATGGTCCTTCGGCACGGATGTTATAGGAAAAAGTCGCCAGCCCTCAGTGGAATTTACAACTCACATCACTCAGTTTAAGTATAACCACAGAAGAAGACCCTCTGTCATCGATTCATCTCAACTTGTAGTCATCGAGCCTGGTAAGAATTTCTACAGACTCAACGCAGTTCAAGTTATTCTCCGGCCCAACCAGCATTGTCAAGTTCAGCTTAAAAATAATTTGGTTAATGTTTCAATAAGAACATAAGGTAACAAAATCATTTTTTGAAAATAAAGAACAATTTATGCCTTTTAGTTGCAAGTACTTTTAATCTTTTAATATTGTTATAATGGTAGTGTGTTGTATTTATTTATTTATTTGTATTTAAACGGTGTTTGTTGTATCGTACAGCCGTTTTAAATCAAATACTTGTTTCTCTCTCTCATCCTAACTACTTTGACTCACATATAACTCAAAAATTTACTTTGTAAATAATTTTTTCGGACTTTCCGTTGGAAACAAATATTTGAATAGTTCCTAAAATAATCTCTGAAGCTTTAAAGTAGCCATTCATTTCTCCGCAAACTAATTTGACAATATTTCGCATTGTATTTTCAATTGAAAATTTGACTTTTGTATATACTGAGAAATATGGATACTTTAAAGAAAGATATTAGAACATGTAAAGCTACTTTTACTCGACAATACAAATGGATTGAAGCAAATTTAGCAAACGAAACAAATGAGTTTCAAATCCATACTAGACTAAACGCTTTGACTACAAATTTTATTAAATTTGAAACAGCTCAAAATGAACTTGAAAATCTCCTAATAGAGAAAAAATTAGATATAGACGAGGATGAACGTTTTGATGTCGAGCAAAAGTATCTTGACTATCTAGCGAGATTACAAGAAAAACTTGCAGATCTTTCAACTGACCAAAAAACAACCTGCTCAACCAATTCTCAAGTTATAATCAATTCAGGCAATTTAAACCCCTCTCGCGCCAAACTTCCGCAACTAAAAGTTCCTATATTTTCTGGTGAGCAAAGCAAATATCAAAGTTTTTTCGATTTATTCACGTCCCTAGTGATAAATAATAATTCTATTTCAGATGTAGAAAAATTAATGTATTTGAAATTATCCCTAAAGGATGAAGCCTTATCACTTATTGATGCATTAGAATTAACTAATGATAATTTTCATATCGCGCTTAATATATTAGAAAAAAGATATAATGATTCTTTGGCTATTATCAATTCACACCTAAACGCTATTATAGACTACGCTCCAATATCTAAGAGCAGTGCACAAAATTTAAGAGATTTTATAACAGAAATGAAACAGCATTTTGAAAGTTTAAAAAATTTTAAAATAGAAACAGATCATCTTATGATTATCAATATTCTCTGCAGAAAGTTAGATTTTGTTACAAAACGCAAGTATGAATCTCAAAGGGATAAAACACAATTACCTACTCTTAATGAGTTTTTTGATATTATTGAAGAAAGATGTAGAGTACTGCATTCGATTTCCCCCTCTCTTCCTAAAAAGGAAAAAATTGAATCTAAAAATACTCTTACAGCATCTCATCATTCAAATTTGGTTAAAAATAATACTACTATGCTTTAAAAAACTCAAAGAACAAATTGTTCTTATTGCAATGACTCATCTCATAAAATTTATAGATGCACTAATTTTTCGTCACGTCCTCATGTTGAAAAATTTGAATTTGTTAATTCCCGTGGTTGCTCAATTTGTTCAAAAAGACATACTCTTTTACATGTACATAATCACAACGAAGGTCAAGGGTCAACGAATCTACGATCTCAGTCACCTAGACATGAGAAAAATTCCATAAACTTGTCAAATCAAACCCCAAATCCCCGGGAAAATATCTCGCACACTAATTATAGCCATGTGCAAAATAATAGTCCTCATGCAACTAGTACTTCTCAAAACTCCAGACAAAATATCAGTCCCCAAATATCTCAAAATTTGCAATCTTCTGAAACGACTCTTAGTATGTCTGCTTTCGCTCTAAAATACACAGAAATGTTACTTGCAACGGCAGTTGTAACTGTTTTTAGTAAAAATAGTAAACGTATTTATGCCAAGGCTCTCGATAACGGATCTCAAAATTCATTTATCTCTGAACAATTATTACAAAAAACAAATGCTAAAATTTATAATAAAAAATTGCACATTTCTGGAATTACTCAAAACTCACTTATCTCCAATAAAATGGCAGAATTTAGAATTTTCTCGAATGCAATGGAAAATGCTTCTTTCGATTTATCTTGTGCGGTATTACCAAATGTCACTTGCAAGTTACCCCAAACTCTTGTCGATACAAACTCATTTATTATCCCTGAACACATTAAACTAGCCGACACTGAGTTTTTTAAACCTTCGCAAATAGATATATTAATTTGCTCAGATTTATATTATAATCTACTCACGGATGGACTCATAAAATTAGGCAGAAATTGTCCAGTTTTAGTAAACACTATGTTAGGATGGATAATCG